TATAACTGTACCACAAGGGTAAAGACATAAAAAAAATAGTAAAGATGATATCAAATCTCTTTACTTTGTTTCTGTGTACATTAAGACAAAAATTCAATTTTTATGGATAAGAGAGTCTTTTTGTGATACTGAATGTTGTACAAATCTTAGTGTTGAGATAACTTTGTAAGGTGAAACGTAAAGTGAAGTTAGTGTAAGGTATTAAATAAACAATCTATAAAAATGTAATAATAAATTCTTTACAATTTTCTAGGATTTAGCATATCTTTGATTATTATTGAACATTGTCATTTTAGAATGTGATAGTTATTAATTTATTGCAGATATTTATCTTAAAGAATAGTAACTTTCAGCAAAGATTTGTTTCAAATTGATGTCAATTATTTATTTAAACATTGACGTCGAGGTAAAACTTTGAAACATTTTATTTCAGTACAAATAAAAAATCTTATAGAACATGTGAACTAGTTTTGTAGAAAGATATTTTTATCTTGTTTTTTATGGGTAGTAGTGAGTCTGAATTATTTATTTATTTTTTATTGGTTTTTTTTTGTTCAATGAAATCATGTTTTTACAGCGAGCCAAAACATGATTACAACAGAATAGTTCTGTTTAATAAAAAAAATACCGAAATGTTTTTTTATTTTCTCTTTATGAGCATTCTCTTTTCATATATTTTTAACGAAAAAAATCTAGAGTTTGAAAATATCTGCTCTTCATTATTTGTCAAAGGACTAGCAATCAATATTTAATTAACTTTTCATTTTTTCTCCGATTATGATTAACCCATTAAAGCTCTTAGCTAGCACAGCATCGATAACGTTAAACTAGCTATTGGAATCATAGCATGGCGAAAAAATGAAAAAATAAGGTCCTATGATTCTATAGAAATTTTTCTAACAAAAATAGTCAATGCAAAACGAAAATATAAAAAAAAACAAAACAAAAAAATATATTAATAGCAAATAAATGTGCAAAAAAACAAATACTATAATCCTCTTTCTCTAAATTATATTATTTACTAAATAAATTATTCAATTCAAGTCAACAGATTGCTTGTAAAATGTACTTTAATCCTTTTAAAGGAGACTTTTTCATCAATGCTCAACCAAAAAATGGTTCAATAAAAACAAATATCGAAGAACAGGATTTAATAGTGCAATAATTTTGTATACAAAGAAAGATTCTACTGAAATGAAATGTCATCACAAATTGCAAATCATGATTTGCATTGGAAACGATCTAAATGAAAGATGATTAGAGAACGAAAATATCCATCATCGTATATTTGATATATATTAATCTAAATATTTCCAGTTCAACGAATCTCATGATATCTTTGGAGATAAATTACATCTATGTTCGCTTAAATATTTTATCCAATGAAATTATATTTTTTCAGTTGATTGAATTTTCTTTATTTAGAGGAAATTCTTTCATATGACGAAACGCATAGCAGATGATGTCAAGTAACTCACAGTTATGTTAACTCAGACGTTAATTTATGCATGAAACACTTTATCTTTTGATGTAAAACGACAACGACAGGAAAATAAAATTCATTAGAGTGGAAGTTAACACTTGAAATTGCTTTAAAAATAAGTCATCATTTTTTATCACTGAATTCTTTAGTTCTGTATATCATTATTCCACAAGTAATGAGTAGTTGGAATGATTGAGAAGATTTTTATACGCTTTTGGTACTTCTTTCTGCAAATAAATATATCCTATCAAGGATTTGTCACAGTTGTTGGTTTATCATCCTGCCCTTTTCTCCTCTAGTTTGTCAGATCCTCCATTTTTTGTATATTTTATCATCCCTTAACATTTATTCGTTTATCACGACATTATTCTGTCGTGAAATCGTTATTTATTTTTTTGAATTAAAATAACGTAGTCCATTTTTTAGTTTATATTCAAATGGAGCTGAAAAGATTAATTGTTTTAAATAGATAATTGATTAGCATCATTTTGTTGTTGCTTCTATACTACACCATGAATTGAAATTAGTGATTCTTTTTCTACCTCAAGTGTTCAATTTTTATACACGTGCTAGTTTTTTTAAAAGAATTGATTTTAAAATGATGAATTATAGGGGAAACTCTACTCAAAATAGAACTCCTTTTCTGTTAATAAATTTTATTCTCTAAAAATAGAAATATTTATTATAAATAAACTAACTTTATAATAAAAAAAAAAATAACTTCCTACAGATGAATATCAAGGATTTTTTCCAGAGCAAAAAAGTTTGATTTCATTATGAATTGTATATTTCAAAAAATATCAATAGCAGAGGTTGAATTAATTTTTAAATTTAGCAATGTGGGTTTGGTTTTTATAAATATTACAGAATGGATAAAATATTACTAAAAATAAAATATAAATAGATTACATAAGATACAATTACTCGTATTTTCTTTTAATTACGACATTATTTTATTGCATCATGGTAGAAAACAGTATTTAATATACTCTTTTAACTTAATTTCACTCAGAATAACATGTAGATATATTCTAAAGAATAAACTTTTGAGAAGCAGTTACTATTTACCATATTTAACTCTGAAGTTGTAGTCTTGTTTTCAAGTAAATGCAATATGCAGCTACTGCTTATGTGGCAACTTTAAAAGTTAAAAAATCTATCTTATACTACACTTGTTGAACAATATATTATTCTTTAGCTGGATTCTTATGTTTTAACCATGTTTTGTTTCAATAGACAGAAATAAAGAATAAACTCTAGAACTTAAATAAAACAAGATATTATTACTTTGATTAATAATTTAAGAAAGACTTAAAGTTCTCAAGCTCAAAATTTTCTAGTATTTAATTATTGCATCTAATTAAAGGATTAATATTTATAATAAACATACTCGGATTGAATTAATTAATTAAAAACAACTATAAACAAGGCAATTACTTTATGTAGTTATGATAATGAGTAGTAAATAGTTCAAATACTCGATTATTTCACCACTAATCTATCAATGATTAGATTCTCCATCACAAACACAGTTTGCTACTAATCACAAAGCAGCAACAAATGGCATGACATCTTAATATTTAAATCAAATAATTTTCTATTGATTATAAATATTTATTTAATGTGTGCATAATTAATTTCTTACATTCCAAGTTGAACGAACTACATGATTTATTATTCTGTCAATAAAATGTGTTATATATTAAGACAGGGTGGCTTGAGATGTCAAATATACCCGTATGTTAATTATACTGGTGGGCGTTCATCTATTGATTGAATCCCTGTATGGCCATCTAATATGAATGTATGATCAGTTTTAGAAAATATGTATCACAATAAAGCAATTCTTCCACAAATTAGTTCGGATATTGGATATTCATACAATAACGAATAATATCCGTTCAATTGCACAATATTTTTAATGTCAATCCCCATAGCTCATTTTCATTGACAGATGTAGCCAAGTGAACAAAACTCTGACAATGATGTGATATCGTTTTAACTTGTCATCAAGTTGAGATCTTAAAATTAATTTTCAATTATAAACCTTTTTTTCTTTTTTATTTCAATCAGTGGAACTTTATCGAAGCTTAAATGTGTTGAAGTACTTTATTTTCAGTTATTTGTAAAACTCAGAGAGAAAATAATATTGAATTTATTCCCAGCACGAAGTGATTGAATGACACGAAACATTTTTTCGGCTACATTCAAATAAGTTGAATGGTAATACGTGATTCTTTTTTTGTAAAATAGAACAGTATAAATATATGAATGCAGATATAACAATATTTCAATGTTCTAGTAAAGAATGAATACTTTTTAAGGAGTATAATTATCCAAGAACATCTCACTTTCCCCTAATTTTCTTAATAGTAGGGTAATCTTACTCAATTTGTACTGGTGACCAAGTTTTACCCTCAACCATTTTTCAAGAATAATTATATTTCAAAGGTAACTGACGGCAAACTGAGGGAGTGAAAAATAAGACTGTGAAAATCATTACTTAATTCAGACTTTTTTGTCCTACTTAAAAAAAATTAACATCAAAATGATTTTAAGCATTAAAACCTTTTTATCAGAAAGTGCTCGTTATTGAAGAAAATATTTTAATATTTAACAAGAGAATTATTTATTTTATTTTACTGATAAACAAATAGATTATCATTTCTATTGATTTTTTAGAATTATAAAATATCTTTAGCTATTTTTAATCATAAGATTTTCCTATTGTAAATAAATCAACTGGTAATAGATGAAGAATTAACGAGTCTGAACACACATAGTGCAACAAGTGATGAGAGTAATTCTGCATTTTATACAACACTCACTCAGAAAACAAAAAAAACTGATTTTAACTGCACATTAAAATTGATCTGAACTCATCACGATGTGTAATAACTTCTGAAATGATCAATTTGTCTCTTTTATAGGACAATAAAGTTTTTAACGTAAAGAAAAGTGGTATTTTTCGCACTAGTACTAAAATTGATGTTTAAAACTATAGAAATGTATATGATCTTTTTAATATTAGTTATTCTTACATCAAATTCTCATACTAAAACAAAAAAAAGATGCAGAAAAACTTGAAGCTATTAAAAAAAAATTTTCAAAAAAATTTCTGTTGTTTGTTTTGGAGTAATTTTCGAATGACAAACTTTTCAATCATGTTTGTTTTTACAAACTGAAGTTCAGATAAATTGTTATCAAACTAAAAAACAAGTAAAAACTGTTTTTAACAGCAAACTTTTGTTTAAATAAAAAAATGTGTTTTGTTTTTACTTGATGTCGAGGTATTACAAGGTAAAGTTCTTCGTATCACGACACTACGTACTAACATCGATTTGGTAGAAAAAAAAGCGTGCTATCAGAGGATTAATACAAATATTGATAGATTTGGGAATGTCTGTATTACTAAATCGTGTAAATAAATCAACAGAAAATTTACACTCAAAAGGAAAACATGAACTTTGGTTTGGGTGATGTGTACATTAGTAAAATATTATTTATTCATACATACCTGCTCATTTGCCAAGAAGCATACAAAACTGGAGTGGTAACAGCTGAAGAAAATCCCAGTAAAACAAACAGGGTGTAGGTTATGTCAAAATGTCCTGCATTCTCGTACGTTTCTACCACAGCTAATTTTGCGAGTCTACAACAAATAGGATAAAGATCAAATAACATTTGATTAATTTCTAACTTTAAAAGTTTCTCGAAGGCTTTGAGTTTCAGGTAAAAAATTTCTCGAATTTATCTTTATCCTTAGCTTTACAGTTCAATTTTTTACCTTTAGTTTTTTAGATAAAAAAATATGTGTTAAAAAGGAAAAGTCCAGAATAAGACAAAAAAAAATCTTTAAGAATTGAATTATTTGATCGAAAAAAGTCAACACTAGATAGGTAAAAAAAAGTGTATTTACTCTGGAAGGAATATTTTTTTTTTCAATGTTTTTGGGATTTCTTTCTGTTTTCCTTCAGTATAAACAAGTAACGTTGCCCAGATAAAAAGTGGCGAGCAAAATAATCTTTCTTGCAAACACACAAATGCTTTTAGTATTAGAAGTGAGAGAATCTTTATTTTTTTGGACTCTGATGTTTAAATCAATTTGTTTCTACTTTTTATCGTTTTATAAAACGATGGAGGACAGTAAAATTAACTTACACAGGGAATAATTATAAATATCAAAATTTCAATGATGTCTTAAATTGTAAAAGAAGACTGTTTAAAATTTTTTCAGGTAAAAAATTACTCATTATTGATAAATAATTTTAAAAAATCACCAAAAATTATAGTATTTATTATTATTTTTTATTTGAGCACTCATCGTTAATTTTATCATGTATCACAAATATATATGTATCTATATTATATAATTGTAATCGATAAATCTATTTATTTGGAACTAATTAATATTTTGGCCATTTTAATTAATGAATTTTTGATGGAATAATTTATTTCCAAAGCTGATAAATCATAAGAGCCGATAAACGTTATATTAATCCAATATGAATGTCAACAGGCATTTTTACTCACTTTGATGAGAACAATGGAACTTTAATCAAATACCATTCATTAGTTTTTCTTTTAGTAAAGTGTTGGTGCTCACTTTTTTCATTATAAAATTCGAACTCATGTTCAAGTGTTCACAATTACTTTGTTCCATTGTCATCTGCGATGAATTCAGGGCAATAATCATGATATCATATATCTTGTAAGGAATCATGTAAATGGTATTAGACAATACAAGATGTACATTCAAGACATTCTCGCTTGAATAAGGGCAAGAAATAAATATAAGCATGAATACTGAAGTCCTATCGAGCGATTGAATTATGATTATTATGTGAATTTGATTGTATTTACATCACAAAAATAACGTTTCTTCTTAAAATATTTGAAAAAAAAATCATTGCATAAAGTGATTTTTCTCTCAGAGTAAAAATTTGTGAATTAACTTACACATTTTTGCTTGTAATGGAAAAAAGTCGAATAAAAGAAGCACGTTTTTCCATAACTGTTGGAGTGTGATATATTGAAATGAAAAAAGGAAAAAAATAGATAAAGTGAGATAAACCATTTTAAAAGTGTGTTATATAAGCAAATTAGAGAAAATTGGTTGAGGTACAACTGAATGAACAATGTATATAAAAGGAAATCCGTTGAGTCCTCTGATTTATATTGAATTCAAATAATAATAGATATACGGTGAATAATAGCTGGGCAGAAATCACTTTGGAAAACTCTTGCGTCAGCGATTATATACTAAAGCAGTTGCATTCGATTACTTTTTTATTTTTATCATGTTCTTTAATTCAGAATAGACAGAAAAAATAGTTTCATGAATAAATTTCAAAAAAATTATTGTGAAATTCCAATCTCACATATTATCATACTGGTTTATTTATCAAGGGAATCTGGCTGAACTTGAACTCATCATCAAAGTTGACAGAAAAAAATGTATTCTTGTGGTCATAAAATTGATTAAAATGTTTCAAAAGTAATATTATTTATAGATAACAAATAAAACTTTTAAACGAAATAGTTTTATTATAAATTATGAATTTCATAGTCATTTTTACCTTAATTCATTCTAAATTAACTGATAAAGTGATTACAGTAATTAATAGATTGCTTAAGAGCAGCTAATAGATTGATATTTGCAGATTAGTCATTCCCAAATGCAAACAAATGAGCTAAAATGCATATCAGATATTATTTATTGATTTTTCAGTATAAAAGTAACTATTTACAATTCTCTTGCAGGAAATCAATGATATTTGCTAATCATTCTGAAGATGAAATAATATCAACTGATAAATGAAGTTACTGAAGATGGACATTGAATCGACAGTTAATGGAATCAGTTGAGCAGTTTTTCCATAAAACTTCGATGAAAATTCTAGAATTGTTTTCTATTTTCATTTCATGAATAATTAAATAATATACTTTGCATGTAAGTCTACAATAAACATTGTAATTGCTATGGCATTTTACATAAAATGCACTTCATATATTTTATGTTATTTAAACTTGAAATGGTTTACGTGTTTCATATTAAAATACTTGGATTTATTCTGTGTGGAATACACATATAGTAATTGATAATATATTCTCAAGAATAACCATCTAGAAGCAACATTTATTTATTTACTCAAATATTTATAATATATCCATCTTATAGGATCAACAATTTAGTGAAGTTTAAATTCATTCAGCAATGGCGATTTTTCAAAAAATCAATAAAATCTTCATGGAAGATCAACCATCAATACATCTTCAATTATTGAACATCTTGTAAAGGGATCAAACAACTATATTAATCCTTTCAGAAGAATATTATTTTGCTCTTCTTAGACTTGACGACATAATAGATCCTTCAGAAACATTCACTTCTATTGAATTCTTGCAAATAAAAAAATTGCAACGAATAAATTTACCGTTATGAAAGAACCCTTTTATCATTGAAGATACTTGTACAATTATCAATGTCTTCTTACAAAATTCTGTAATATTTTTTCCACAAATTAAAAATATTTTGACTCAAAGCTTTTTTACTTTTCAAATGAATATTAGACTATCTTGAAAGGAATACTTTTGATAATATAATACATTTTTATGAAATCAAAAGAAAACTCTTGTTGACTTATTGAATGAATAACTCAACAGATATCAGAAAATTTCTCTTAATGCCGAAGTTTTTAATGAAAATATTGTGATACGTGGTTATAAACCATAAATTATTTTATTTTTTTAAGTAATTCTTTCAAAAGGATTCTTTCTTGAATAAAATGCCACTTAAGGTGAAAATTCTTCAAGTCTAAATGGTGAAAAAATAATTCACTTTAGGAATTTTGTTGTCATCGCAAGATCAAACTTGATATTCTCTTTCATAAAAAAGAAACGAAATAAAGAAAATAACAAAATTGAATTAACAGCTAAGTTTCAGACTTAATTCTAAAGCAAATATACTCTGTAGTGATTTTAGAAATAAAACCAGTCATTCTGGTGATATTTCTAACTTGAAAAGGATTTTGCTGAAGTGAAACTAATAAATCCCGATAAAGTATTTTCTTGAGGCAAGGGATTGATCTATGCTTGCTATTATGAAGTCTGAAGGGACACCTACCATCCGTCACTTCCGTTTAACGTGAAGAAAAAAAAAATATCTTAGCCTACAGACATTATAAATTACTTTCATTCAACTTCGTGTAGATACTTACTTCAACATCATCAGAGGACACAATGAAATAGCAAAGACAGACACCATAAAAATAAGATACTTCTGCGTACGTTTTTCTTTCTTTATATTCAACTCTACATCATATAACTCATAAGTATTTGAGAATCCCGAGAGTCCAACTGTTGCTGTGTTTGCTAAACTATCTCTAGCACGTTTCCCTCCATGGAATAATCTGGAATATTTGAATTTATAAACAGTAATCATCAACCTCTTTGCCATCTCATGTAAATAATTGTAATTCATTTTTTAATATAAAAGATTATTACGTTAAATCGTTGCTTGCTGTGCTCCCTTGTCTGGAATAAGTCAACTTTGGTCTTACTCCAAATATCACAACTGGTGGTGGTTCTTCTTTGTTTTGTAATTCCCTACTTGCTTTGACATAGAAGTATGCCATTATTGTTAATGGTGCAATATAACTAAAAATATGAGTTCATTTTGAAGTAATCAATTTATTGTTTTACACAGATCTACATTTTGGACTTTTAATGATGTAGATTAGCACTGGAGACCAGTAACAATTAGTATATTGAAATTCTCATTATTATTATTGTTTTTATTTATATGTAGCTGAAAATTAACTTTTGTTTTTGAAGTGTGTAAAAAGTGACTTCAATGAGAGATGAGTCCTAGAGTTGGATGTTAACATATTGTCTAGACAGTGGTATGAATATGAAATATGATGGAAATAATTTGAAATTACCTGACAGAAGGAGATACATTGTTAGACATTTGTTTCGTTAAAGTAAATGTACCAGTTTTAAGCTTGTTAAATTAAATTAATAGTTATTTTTAAAATTATTATTTAAAAAAAAGAGTATTTGGATTAAATTGAACCCTTGGGGTAAAATGGTATGAACATGAAAAAAGTGGAAATTGAAAAATGTTTTTAGTTTTAATTCTAGATTGTAAATTTATTTTTTATTTATATCATAGATATCAGTGATAGAAAAAAAAAATGTTTGAAAATCGAGTGCGATAAAATTTACGATTGAACTTTTTTATACATTGATTGGATCCTCAGGGGAGTGGTCTTATTCTCGTTTTACGATGGATTTATTTAAAACCTAAAATTTAAAATACTGAGGTTATTCTAAAACCACTAGAAAGATCGTATATGAAATTATTCAAGATATTTCAGTAATGTCAGATAATATGCATACCAAACTATAGTTTCCATATATGAAAAATGTATCCATATAAAACAGAACCCTTCTACTTGAAAAATAATACTCAGTTCATTTGAAATAACTCATTGTGAGATATGTTAATGCTCTTTTCTGAATAGTTTTAGAATCTTGAAATGATTTAAAATTATTAACATCTGGCTATAAAAAATTATGAAATCTTTTAATATACAAGAAGTATGATAGTAAAGCTTTATATATTTTGTTTAATAAAAAGTGCATAAAAATTTAAATCAAATGTCAATGCTGCAATTTTTAGACGCTTTATTTATATCTATTAAAATCTATTGCCCAGTTTCTGTAATTAATTTATTATTTTACAATAAAACTTTAATTCCAATTTTTCATATTTTTCTCATAATTTCAAAATAACACTTTAAAATGAATGTAACTTTTTTCAAAAACTTTTTTATGAATAAAAATTAAAAAAATGATTCTACGATTTCAAAAAATATAAATGAAGATTATAATAAAAAAAAGTTCCGTTTATTATAAAATGTGAATCAAGACTGAAAAATTTTCTGACAACAATATAAAAAAGTTTTTCTAGATAAAATGTCATTCATTATAATAAGTTTTTCAAGCTAAAATAAACCCATTTCTCGCGTGTATAATGAAAAGGAAGTTTCTTTTCTTTGAAATATTTCAAATTATGATAATGAAACTAATATAAGTCTGTAGAAGGGTAGTTAAAGACTGTTACAAAGACATTATTTATTGCAATGAAGACACGTAGAATCAAATACACGTGTAAGGACACACTCATGAATATTCATTTTTTGCTACCTTTTGACTCGATATCTCAACAAGATTAAGAGCCTGCCACATTCTGAGTGGATCAGTATGTAGAGGAGATCAAAACATAGTAGTTGGTATGTCACAATTCCTCATTCCCTTGGGGCAAATTCTACGAGACACTTACTAATGATTCTCTTTTAAGTTTATAATTAAATTAATTTTACTAACCCAGAATTGCAATTCATCAAAAAAAAATTGTTTTAAGTTTTATAAATAATTAACTTGTAACACCTAAATTTTCTCAAGGCGAGTCCCCAAGAAAATTCCCGCCCCAATTTAACAATTTATCTAAATTCTATGGCCCAGGATTCTATGGCGGATGCGTTACAAAGTAAATTCTCTAGACACAAATTAAAATCCAATTTCAACTTTATTATATAAACTATTTACAACATATATGTGTTCTATTCTAGATTTCCAATTGTACAGTTTTACAAAGTTAACTTTCACTTAGGTGCCGTTATACTAGAGAGAGAGAGTTGCTATCTTAAAATCCCACCCAGAAGTGTCTACCCCGTGGCCTAACCTCTCGTTGGTCGGGCTACAACCCAGACCGGGATACTCGAAGAGCTAACAACTCTTCGAGGGAAGGCTACAACCTTGCCTGAATAATCGACGAGCTACAACTCGTCGACGAAGAGCTCCAACTCTTCTAGGGGGTATAGGTGCGAGCTACGACTCTTCACCTTCTAACTCTAGAACCCTATCTAAGTGAGGACGAGCTACAACTCGTCCGGGATACTCGAAGAGCTAACAACTCTTCGAGGGAAGGCTACAACCTTGCCTGAATAGCTGACGAGCTACAACTCGTCGGCGAGGAGCTTCGACTCCTACACGGTCCAAGATCGTGAGCTCCAACTCTCGATCGCTAGCTAAAACCAAGAGCACCAACTCTTGGCTGGAAGGCTTCAACCCTCCAATTCCTATTTTCGGAAAGCTTCTACTCTCCGGGGCAACTAAAAGGCTACAACCCTTTAGCCAGAGCTACAACTCTGTATTGTACGACGTGAGCTACTACTCTCGTCGGTCTCGTTGGTCTAGTACCTCGGAGACAGGTGAAGTGACGATCTCCGCAAAATCCAGCTCTTTTATACTGTTTGACTCCGCCCACTTTGCTATCCCCCACCACTATTGTGGTGGGTTGCGTGGGGAAGTCGTCATGGCAACAAGATCATCACAATAACTCTCTCTCTCAGATCTATTACGTTACTTATGACCCTCTCTCTCTACTACATGATTTTAATAGGCTTCGCCGATAATTTAAATTTCGCGCTATTTCTCATGGGTCGATAAAATGATTTTACTGATTATCGATTCATCAGACCAATTAATTTTCTATAATATCGGCCTTAAAAATGTAACTTCGTTACATCCCCCTCTTTTTTCCTAAAAAAAAAGAATTTTTTTTTTCTGAAAATTATTTTTTTTCCCTTAGCCGTATATACAAAAAATAGTGAAAATGTATGAGAGGCATCAGTTACTCTTCATTTGCCAACAAGTACATTCTCTTTTACAACAATTTATTCATAATTTTGCCATTACTTTTAGACTTAAATACTAACAAATAATTACAATCATTTCGGCTTAACTACAGAAACTTAGCCTTATCTTAATTGTACATTGCTTAACTATAAAAATTCCTTATTATAATGCTAAATATTTGCTTTAAATTATTACAGTTCTACAATCATTTGTAAATTAATATCAAACAATCATTTTCAATACTTAACATCATTACTTATCATACAAGTGATATAAACGAAACAAAAATCTTTTCTCACAACTGAACAATTGGAAACAAACAAAATAAATATTTCTTTTTCAAGTACCGAAATTTCTTACAGGTGTGTTTCCCTTGTTGCACACCACTCCTACTTTATCTGCGTACATTTTAAGTCCTATCAATGAGCCGTTATATCTGGGGGCAAGTTTGGCGGCACAATGGTTAGCTGCTGCCGAAAGATACTCTTTCTTAGTTACCATGTTTTCTATACCTGGTATCCTTTTCCGTCTGTTTTTACTGTAATATTTCTTCTGTTTTCCAGATGCTAAAACTTTATCATCTTGCAAATGTCTTGAACGGTTTATTTCTTCTAAAGTACTTGGTATTGTATTTAATGGTAATGTTTTTCTGTTATATTTTGGATAGACTTGTCTGACTTTAGTAGATTCATTACTTGCAAACTTCCGCTTAGCTAAATTCCTATTCGAAGATTGGTATGACTTCTTGTCGTGCTGCAAAACCATGGTTTTTAGCACCTTGTTAGTTCTTCCAACTCCTTTATGTTGTGCAAAGTATGGTGGAGTTGCTACATGTCTTATTCCGAAATACTTCAACAATTTTTGGAATTTCCTGCTAGTAAACTGAGTGCCATTGCTCGTGATGATTGTCTTCGGGCAACCAAATTGATAAATAAGTTCTTTTTTTAGAACTCTACAAATTTCTGAAGCTGTAGCTTGTTTGAGTGAATATATTTCAACCCGCTTCGTGAATTTATCTTGAATTACTAACAATTGAGTGTGTCCATTTAACGATCTAATAAAAGGATTTTGTAATTTGACTGCTATAATTTCCCATGGCTTCGTAGCATTGATAGTTGCCATTATTCCTGACGTCTGCTTCTGAGGGGACTCGTATCGTTGGCGTTTTTTACACAAACGAACGTATCTATTGATGTCGTTCTGCATTCTTGGCCGAACATACTTGTTTGCGATTCTTGAAATCGTTTTTGCCACCCCCCAAATGTCCAGAAATCACGGTTTTGTGGTCACCTCTCAATACTTGGAGCCTTTCTGCTAACTTAACTGCTGATTCTTGAACGGTATCTTCATTATCTAGTGGGTCACAATAAGGTCTTTCGTCAATCTCTTCTAATCCTTGTTCTCCGTTCATGCTGGGTATCGGATTCACGATGTTTTCCGTTGGTTCCTTCTGATCTCGAGTTTGTTTTATCCCTTTCTTCTTTTGAATTGTTTTCCAATTCTGTTGACATCCACATTGAGTTGCACGAACATTCGATTTACCACATCTAAAGCAAAAGATTTGTGGCTTATTTTGGCATTGCCAACTCTTATGACCTTGTTGCCCACACTTCCAACAGCATTCTTTACGGTCATACAGGCTATGAACCATATTAATATCCGAACTACGTTTGTTACGTCTTTTATTTTCTTCTTTGCAGTCATTAACACCAGACGACTTGAACCGCTTCTCGTCATCTCTTAACCGCTCATATTCACTGGTCATACTGATGATGTCTGTTATCGTTTTTACATCACATCTTCGAACATATCTTCGATACTCTGGTCTCAAATTCTCATGAATTCTTTCTACTTGTTCCTCGTTGCTTAGAGTTCCTTGTCTACGCATGAGCGTCTGCAGAGCCGTAATAAAATCGCGTGCTGCTTCTCCAGGTTTTTGAACTCTATCCTGGATTTCTAAACTTAATTGAGTTCGATATCGTGAGGGTAAATAAAATTCTTTCAGAGCTTTAGTAAACTCTTCCCAATCTTTCCAATTCTTCTTATTATTTCTGTACCACAACAAGGCTTTGCCCTTCAATAATATTGGCATGCACTGCACAAGATACTTGTCTGCTATATCATAGCTTACTGACAATTCATCAACTCTTTCGATAAATGAGACTACATCTTCGCCTCCAGCGAATGTGACGTTCCATTTCCGGATCTGCTCTTTTATCTTTAGGTCCCTTTCCTCTTTGACTTCTTGCTCTCGCCGTCTACTTGATCGCGGCGTAGAAAGACCAGAGGAAACTATAGATTGTGCTCTTGATATGTGCTCCCTTAATTGTTGCGTCAATAAATCTCTTAGACCGGGTATATCGTCGATATTATTGATCACTGTCGGTATGTTAGGTTTCGCTATTCTATCTTTATTATTTTCTCTGACTGTGTGCCGACCTTCACTTGTATCTCTACTTGTCGGTTCAATGTCAAAATTGTCCTCCATATCTCCCCTATTCCGATCCTCCATGATGGCGTCACACAAAATTTGTCTTAGTTGTGCTACCGGGGCTTTCGATGGCATCTCAATTCCACGAGCTTCTAACTCAGCTCTAACTTGCGGCTTCCCTAACCGCCAGATATTAACTCTTGATGGACCGGCTTCCATTTTCAACTCTTTTTAAAGCTCTAAAGCCTATAGCTTATTTGCTTGTTCAAAGATTACAAGTCCTATGTTCGAGCGCCAATTGTAACACCTAAATTTTCTCAAGGCGAGTCCCCAAGAAAATTCCCGCCCCAATTTAACAATTTATCTAAATTCTATGGCCCAGGATTCTATGGCGGATGCGTTACAAAGTAAATTCTCTAGACACAAATTAAAATCCAATTTCAACTTTATTATATAAACTATTTACAACATATATGTGTTCTATTCTAGATTTCCAATTGTACAGTTTTACAAAGTTAACTTTCACTTAGGTGCCGTTATACTAGAGAGAGAGAGTTGCTATCTTAAAATCCCACCCAGAAGTGTCTACCCCGTGGCCTAACCTCTCGTTGGTCGGGCTACAACCCAGACCGGGATACTCGAAGAGCTAACAACTCTTCGAGGGAAGGCTACAACCTTGCCTGAATAATCGACGAGCTACAACTCGTCGACGAAGAGCTCCAACTCTTCTAGGGGGTATAGGTGCGAGCTACGACTCTTCACCTTCTAACTCTAGAACCCTATCTAAGTGAGGACGAGCTACAACTCGTCCGGGATACTCGAAGAGCTAACAACTCTTCGAGGGAAGGCTACAACCTTGCCTGAATAGCTGACGAGCTACAACTCGTCGGCGAGGAGCTTCGACTCCTACACGGTCCAAGATCGTGAGCTCCAACTCTCGATCGCTAGCTAAAACCAAGAGCACCAACTCTTGGCTGGAAGGCTTCAACCCTCCAATTCCTATTTTCGGAAAGCTTCTACTCTCCGGGGCAACTAAAAGGCTACAACCCTTTAGCCAGAGCTACAACTCTGTATTGTACGACGTGAGCTACTACTCTCGTCGGTCTCGTTGGTCTAGTACCTCGGAGACAGGTGAAGTGACGATCTCCGCAAAATCCAGCTCTTTTATACTGTTTGACTCCGCCCACTTTGCTATCCCCCACCACTATTGTGGTGGGTTGCGTGGGGAAGTCGTCATGGCAACAAGATCATCACAATAACTCTCTCTCTCAGATCTATTACGTTACTTATGACCCTCTCTCTCTACTACATGATTTTAATAGGCTTCGCCGATAATTTAAATTTCGCGCTATTTCTCATGGGTCGATAAAATGATTTTACTGATTATCGATTCATCAGACCAATTAATTTTCTATAATATCGGCCTTAAAAATGTAACTTCGTTACAAACTCAAAATTCAAATGAAATGGATTGGTTTGTACAATTTGTAAAAATTATATTGAACAATAAAAATATAATATCTGTTAATTGAAGTTCCACAGTTTGCAATATTTAATAACAATCAATTAAACCTTCGTGTTTATGTAATCAAAATATTTTTTTGCGATTGAAAAATTCTCGGTTCTCGACGATAATTGAAATTATTACTGTGCTACAAAATAGTTAATTTACAGTTAAATTAAAATCTAACGAAAATCAATACCATTACAATAATTTCTCAAATTAAAAAATAACACATGAAAATTCAATATCCAATTGATTATCTGTCCAAGAATTGCATTATATTTTCATGTTCATTAGACTTTTCATTGATCTGAAGTTTTTAAAAATTTTCTTTGTTTTTTGAAAAGAAAAATTGT